TTTTTTTTTTTTTTTTAAGTATTTTCCTAGTTGTTGATGGACCTTTATTTTTTATTTATTTATTTATATCCAGTGCCTCATGCATGCTGGATAAGCCCTGGACCACTGAGCTACAATCCCAGCCCATGAGGCTGGTCTTGAAGTTGTTACAATCTTCCTGTCTCAGGCTCCAGAGTTGCTGGGATTAAAGGTGTGTGCCACGCCACTACACTTGGCTGAAGAGGTTCATTCTTGTTGATTTTGTGGTTTGGGGCATCAGGGATTAAAACTAAGGGCACTTAACCACTGAGCCACATCCCCCAGCCCTTTTTATTTATTTATTTTTGAGGAAAAGGAAAAAGTTTTATTGCTTTGCTAGCACACGGAAAACAAAGATGACTCCTGTCTCAGAGTCTGTGATTCTGTCTTATTTTTAATTTTAGGGCCTCGCTAAGTTGCTGAGGGTGGCTTGGAATTTGTGATCCTCCTGTCCCAGCCTTCTGAGTTGCTGGAATTATAGGTGTTCACCAGTGTGCCCAGCCTGATTGATTTTTTTTAACTGCCTGCAAGGAGGCAAAATACAAGCTGAGAAACCAGTGGGATGAGGAGGGCTCAGTTAATGTGGAAGAGAAGAAAGCTAATGACTGAGACCTTTAATTGTGAGGCATTCCAACTAGAAGGATCAGAGAAGAGGAGCATTCAGCAAAAGTTATCAAAAAGGAGTAGTCAGGAAAGAAAGCTAAGAAAATCAGGAGTGAAAGGTCTTACAAAACACATTCCCAAAAATGTTCCATGATGTGCTGGATAAGCTGCATCGCTCCCACTCAAAAGACCGAAGATGATTAAAAACTGACCAACAGAAAATGGATATTTAAGATTTTGGCAAGAGTGGTTTTAGTGAAGGTTAGGGGACCAAAAGCCTCATCCTCCATGATCTGGTTTTTTGTATCCATCCCTTAGTGAATACCATTACTATTCCCACCCGGCCAACTGCCATTAGCACTAAATTTTCCCATTCTCATTTGGGCTGTCCTGTTAAATTTGAGGTTGTGATAATTATGTCTTCAAGATACTCAATCATACTAATTTCGGTGACACTATTTTCCATGGCTGAATTTATATCATCCCATTGATCATTTATTTCATTAGCCTCTCTTCCCTTTTAGTCTACACGTTCTTCCAAAGTG